AACGGAGTAGGATTCCTCTGCCGGCTACAGGATTTGAACCGGCAACCTTCCAGCCACAGAGCCACTGCTCTTCCCCTGAGGGTGGAGGGACCCAGACATTATGAGGGACCCAGACACCTTGTAGTAGCTAGGAGAGTCAACAAATGTCTACAGTTCCCACAGTTAACCCTACGAGGGGAAAAGGTCACTTCGGGGGAACAAAGCAAGAAGGACTCTGTGACCATGAGGCTGTGGAGAGGCCAGTATGAAGCTATATTGTACGTATGAACACTTGTGTTGGTTTAGTTTATAGGCCAGACACAGAGAAGCTTCCTGGATGTTTCAAAAAGAAATTAAAGGGTATTGTAAGAGCTCCAACACACTTAGGTTATGGTTTTGTGATGCCCAGATGTGCACACAACCCCAGAAGGATTTAAAGTTCACTTTGGTGTCAGATTCATGCTAGCAGAACCGAGGAAACCGAAGAGCTGGTCAGGCTACTATAAGGTCCTGCACATTTTCAGACACAGCATCTAAACTGCTGTTGAAATACAGTCGCTATAATCCTAAATGATGAAAGAAGGGAGGCCACAGGGTGGCAGTAAAGTGGAACAAAGAGGCAAAGTGTTTATTTAACAAGATAAGCATTTCCAGACAGTGATTTTTAAATCAGACAAAACATGGCAGGCCTGATATTGATGAAGGAAGAAGACTTTTTTTCTAGTTTTTCTCTTGCAAACTGACATAGCACTTTATGACTCCTCATACAAGCACCAAAAAAATAAATCCAAACATATTTGCTCCATCACCTTAGTGCACACCTTACAAGGAAGCAATTCAGTGTACCTCCAGACTTGGGAAGTGTCTACAATCATTCTGGCCCGTTATACTGTTTGTTCAAAGCAACTTCTTCCAAATGCTTTCAAAGTGCTTCAAGTGGGGCTTAAAATGTGCATCAGCAAGTATCAGTACAGAACAGAAAGCCTATGGCTTAATTCTTTTCCCTACTCGGTGGGAGCAGGCTCCATCATTTTAACTCAAAGAAATAAGGAAGAATGAAAAGAATAACGGTATTGATTGAGATCCTGTTTACAGAGGGAGTCAAGCCAGTGAATTCCCCACAGCAAATAACAAAGCATGCCAGTCATGCATGTCAGTTGCAGGAATAAACAGCTTTTGTGGATAATCTTGTCAAGGAAGATAAGGCCTGCATCTGACAAACACAATTACTGATAACAACACAAGGGGAACTTATCCAGGGCTGCAGGAGTTATCCATAAGCTGTCTGCCAACAAAATACCAGTAGAATACAGGAAGAGGGAACCAACTGGGCTCTCCACCAGCACAAGCATGACAGAAGTCTCATATTGTAAGATGATATTTAAATACAGCATGCATCAAAAATATTAATATGACTTAATCAATCAGCCTTTGCATGATGTATGATAGGATCTTTGGTATTGGCCTATCTGCGTAACCTATTGATGATCTTGTCCTTGAAAGCTGGATTTGCTTCTGTGCATATTATAATAGTTTACGTATATAATATGGCACTGTCAAACATAGCTTCTCTCGCCTAACATTGAGGTTTGCAAAACTATTATATGATATATCATTTAGACTACACTGGTTTGGCACATCACAAAAATGAAACAACCACATTGTGTTCAGTCACGAATCAGTCAAACTATGTGTATGGTTTCACTTAGGGAATAATGTTATTTGGAAAATGTCCACAGTTTTTTTTCGGTTGATTACCAACGTTGTCACAAAAGGTTAGTATTCTACTATGCGAACTTCACCCCATTAATTTTTTAGTTTTATTTTGCTCAAGTTATATAACCAAGATTCAAGATTGAAAATTCAGCCTTAGGATAAAGTTCAAACACAAGACACGACGGTATGCAGACAAATGTTATATTAAAGAAATTCTGTTTTAACCATTTTCCAATTGATTTTGCTCAGGTCTGAATTCCTGTTGAGGAATATGTGTGTTAGAATTATATTAAATGTTTTTTCACAGGCTGCCCTACCAGCCAAGGCTATCCTGAAACATGCATGTTATATCTGAAAAGATTTACTTTGTTAAATCAAAGTAACATGAAGAAAGCAAAGCTAATACATGATGATGCAGGCATCACAAGTAGACACATTGATATTGCCACAGTATAATGTGCAGTATCTCCACACTTCTATTGACATTTGTCAAATCAGTTTTTGTGAACAAGATAGGGAAATATCTGTTACATGTTGTCCTCAGGTCAAAATGAAATGCTGTGGTCACTACATTGAGGTACTGTACCCATGTGTCTCCTTCTGAAAAACAGTAAAGCAATGCTGGACTAACAGGCCGTGTGAAGAGAGGTGTGAGAGCACTAGGGGAAGGGAACGGAAACGAAAAGCGCTTCAAGAAGCCATGAGGGAATAACAACATGGTAAAGCTCTTCATCTATGGAGTGGAATGTTTGTAACCTCTTTATGTGGGTTTTAACAATCCACATACCCCAAAATTTCAAAAACCCAGAGAACAATGTACATGTACATTGGCCACCTCCGGGTCAGTGTGGTGGCTCTGCGGTTAAGGATCTGTGCCTGTGGCTGGAAAATTGCTGGTTCAAATCCTGTGGCTGGCGGAGGAATCCTACTCTGTTGGGCCCCTGAGCAAGGCCCTTAACCCCAAACTGATCCAGGTGTGCCGTATAAATGGCTGACCCTGTGCTCTGACCACATGTGTCTCTCTCCCTTCCTGTGTGTCTCATGGAGAGGAAGCTGGGGTATGTGAAAAGACAAATTCCTAACACAAGAAATTGTATATGGCCAATAAAGTGATCTTATCTTAAGTAGCCATCAAGAAGAGGAGGTGGGAGAATAGCAATTGTTTAAAAAATAATGAAGAAGAAAGAAAAATTGCATGAATGTCTGACTTTATCTGTATACTGTATGAATATTAAAACGGCAACAGAGAATGTTAAAAAATATTGCAGCATCAGATGACATTTAGTGAATATTCCCTAGTTCTGAAGTCTACACTTGAAGAAAGAATCCTTGAGGGTATTTTCATAGGATAAAAGCTGCACGCAAAACAAGCTCTTTTGGAGCCCTTAATCAAAAAGTTTTTTTTTTCTTTATCTTCATGTCGTTTTATGATTGTATAAGAGGAAGGGATAGCAGCAGCAGGTCACAACCAGGGGCCATGCTGTATAATTTCTGGAGTTGAATCACATTAATTTCAAAGCTCCCTGCCAATGTGACTTGTTTCTCAAAAAGTATCTGTCTTTGATCAGTTACACTAATGAGAATAAATGTACTGAGCATGTTACCCAGAACATCACCCTTTTTACAGCTGTGCCATTAATAAGGACAAAAATAGAGTTGTTTTCTACAAAAAAGAAGTAGATCATAGGGCTTTTATTTCTTGTTTCTGTTCTAAGGCAAATACTTGAACTGTATAGTAACAATTTCAGGTAACCTCAAAATTCAGAAAACATGTTAATTCTGATTTCACACAAAACTCCTCATACTTTCTTGTCCTTTCATTTTCTTTTATAGAAAATGCTCTAAATGTCCAAGAGTTTCATAACGTGTGTTGCACACTGGATAATAAAATTGAGTAAAGCCTCCCTCAATCACAGACAGATTCAAGGAGAGTTAAATATTACAGCAGAACTAACACTTTTTAAAATCTGTTTTAGCTATCCATACACACTGGGTGAGACCTGTGTTTAACAGCAATGGTTAGAAATTTGAATTAGCTGAGAAACTTGATGCTATAGGCCAACAAGACTGAGAACATGTGAAAAGGGAAAATCACTGTTCAAACATGTAATAATGACCCATGTCCTTTAACACAACCTCTTACTGTAGGTGTTTCTCAGATGAAAATATTCATGTTGAAGGGAATTCTTTGCTCTATTGACAAGTGCGTCATCCAACCTAAATATGAACAATATGTGCAGCAGGTTATGACAATAATATTGTTCAGACTTCTATGGTCGAAATTTCAGTTCTTTTAAGAATGGATCTTATTTTGTCAAGAAAACAGCATGCAAGCAACTGAGGCTTTACTATGGAAGAATTTAGTCAGAATCCTTGAGTCAGAAAGCCTTAAAAATTGAGCGGCAAAAGGAAATGCATTTACATGGCACAGAATAACTCAAGGATATTTTTGCTTTTCCCTTTTTGGATATAACTTGGATTTCTTTACCCCTTACAAAATGCTCATAAAGGTACATTTTTGTATTTGCCAGAAATTTTCCAGGTATAGTGGATAACAGGCTCATAAAACTAAAATAATTTGCTAAGCAGGTTAGCTTTTTCTGCAACATTTTTCCCCCTCACCAAAGTGTTGTTTTTCTCCATTAGAGAACTCGGTCTTGTTTTAGAGTCCTATTACAAAGGCTCAATCTGACGACTCAGCTCCAATTTTTCAGAAACTTTGCACCAGTACCTTCGCACTCTCAGGCTCTTTACATCAGCCACCCAGCAGGGAGCTCTGGCCTGCCTGCTGAATTTATCTAGAATCTGCATCTCAAACACGCAGGCTGTGCTCTTGGTTTCCTTGGCAATGAGGGCTGCCGCAGGGAGAGCACCACTCTCTGGCACAAAAAAAGAGGTAAGACTTTGTTCTCTCAGAAAACAACCGCTTATCTCTCCAAAAATTCCATACGAACCAACTGTTCCTGTCAAGACGAGACTGGGTGAAAACCCCTGGAATCCTCAGCTACTAGCCACCAAAACAGGCTAAACTGGTCTAATGGATTGCTCTCGTTTGTAATCTTTCATATGTTCTGATATGCGGATATTCCAATACTGCTCTCTCTATGGTGTCACAAACGCTTGAGATGTAAATCCTGATCAAAGCTCTTGGCAACTTACTAGTGTGTACATAACAGAAATTACAAACTGCTGTTATGAGTAACACCCCAAAGGTCTAGGTTTTCCAAGTCTTACAAACAATTCCTAGTGGAAAATTATTTTACATATCATGCTTTACAGAATATTATTAAGATAATTGGATATCATGGAAAAGGTCAAGGCAACTAAGATGGCTGTTATTCCTCACCCCTGAATATTTATTTGCATTATCATGGGTAAAAAAGGAAACATATTTTGTTAAGAATACAACATGTCACACAGTCTTGCTAGAAAAAAAAAATGAAATAATGCGTTGGGTGTGGATTTGCAGATGAAAACACTAAGATGGCACCGCATGATCACTTGGTGCAGAAAACAAAAACATCGGGAAGACTAAAAACATGTAATTATTCACTTCAAAGATTCTGAAAGGACTAATCTTCTAATGAAAAATGTGGGAGTGTTCCAGGAAAGTAGACTCACTGTGATATTTCATTAAAATGGCTCTATGCCTCACAGTTGCACCTGTGACAATGTGGCTATAGAAAACCTTGCCTGGTGGCAGCTCTATCTTATTTGCATTCCACCACTTCTTTTCAATGCATCTGCTGCAGACAGAAAGCCCTTGTGTTCTTCACCAGTCTCTATCATCTGTTCCTACAATACCTAAAGCTGTCAGGACGACCTTCTAGCTTAAAAACAAAAGAAAGGTGATTTATCTCCTGCTCCATGCCATCAGAAAGGAAAAGAGAAGCTACATGACCAGCCAACATTTTTAATAAGGTGCCTGCAGATCTACCCCCACTCCTCCTCTCACTATCTGCCAGCTCTAGACAAAAAAATAGTTTCTTAGAGAGGGGGAAGAGGATTACAAGGAGACGAAATAATGGGAAACTGCCATAAACTGTAGTTCATTTGATCCACAACAGCTATCACTAACTCACTACAACATACAGTAGTATCACCCTTTGTCTTTTTCTTTAATCCAGTGTTCTTTGTCACTTGATTCTGCTTTGTAAGAATGCAGTACAGCACGTTTACAATCTGCATACCAAACCAAAACACAAATCGATGGTCATGGAAAGGTCATGGAGGCTATTTCTACAGCAGTCGTATAACAAAAAATGTGGATGTGGCCTTCACTTGCGCAAAGCAGAAATCAAATACTCGATTCACATGATTGGTGAATACTGGCAACCGGTTTGTTCCAGAGAAATAGTCAAGGACTCAAAAAATATATTTTCTCTTGCACCAATTAATTAATTAGTTTTCCTAATTAATGCCCATATTGAAATAAAACTATTCATAGATTAAATGATACAGAAACCTCATTCAAAGTCACTAAAATAAAGCTTTTAATTTACAGATAATCTCGTTGCTAATCATTGCAGTGACTTGCTATGGAGCAGCATGACTAACTAGCATTAGCAATGTGGCACAGTGGGTATAGCTTATAATAACTCTACTTCAGATTCCACAATAGCCTAAACAGCTATAAGAAATCTGTTGAATCTGATTTAATTACAACACTCAAAAACACAAAAAGTTGCATTTTCAAACCCACCCCTTTTAACACTCATTCAGCACATAGAGGGGCTACTACCTCAAAGCTGATGAACAATATGAACTGCAAAGTGGTGCTTTTATGACCAATGAGTCCTTTCACACCTGTTCAACAGACAAACACAGTTGTTTAAAGACAAAATCTTCAATTTGCCCATTGAAAACCCAATTAAACGTGTCTTGGACAAGATGATTTATAGCCGCCATAAAAAAGTAACAAAGAGAGGATTGTAAATAAGTAGGAGACATAAGATGAGTGTTCTTGGTTACAGGCTGCTCAGCCCGCCTATCATAGTTAACACATTACTGAGACCTGTTTTAAAATGTAATGCATTTCTGACTTGCCATGTTTCCATTTAATTACATACTGTACAGTATATAAATACTGAATGTACAATGATCTTTATTGTGTATCTTTATTGTGTACAATCTAACATCCATTCTAATGTTAGGAAACCTTTTACATGTATTTTTAATTTTCCATGAGTTGCGAAAGAAATGAAATCTCCAAAGCAGGCCACAACTTTTGCAGCTAAAGCCTAAAATGAATACATTTAAAGGAAGACATGCAGTAGTGTGTTGGTGATGTCACCGTTGGCAATTTGCCAATAGAACATCAATAACCCATTTTTTTCTGGACCGCAGCAAACAACCTGCAACAACTAATTAAACCCTATTGATTAGATTATAATAGTTGAATGTGGTCTTTTTAGTGCTTTTAGAAACATAAAATGATGCAGAGCATTACGTCTAAATGTTTTGTTATTTGTGCCTTCAAAGTGACATGAGAATGTTTCACAATGCTCCTGAGCTCTACAGATTTTATTTTGCTCTAAATCTTCTCATGACATATCAGGGTCAAAACAGGGCACATTGATTGCAGTATGGACAGTAGAGACATGCCAGAATGACACTGAATTAGCTCTTCCTGAATGAGACATCTCTGGGTAGTGGCCCAAGGCTGACACAATCAATGAGAATCTTTCCAGACAAGCTCATTAACAAGCAGCTTCAAGCAGCAATGCAGGTAAATCCTACATGTGGAGGCAAAGCAGAAATATTCCTATGGAGCCACATCTAAGGAAGCATTTTTTAAAAGAAGATTTGTATCAATGGGACATTGTGAATGAATGATAAATATTGCAGGTGTGAGGGTGTAACTATTTAAGCTCTTTCCACAAAGAGAAAACAAAAACACACATTACTGTGAATAGCTATGAGTTAAAATGTAAAGTTATGGACTAGCATGAATCAGCTTTTTTAAAGCATTTTTCTTTGCATCAATTAATTAGTCACACTGTAGGAGGTCCCTACAGCACCTCAACAGGAAAGACACTGCCTATGCAGTTTAAAATCGAATTGTCTAGGTGGATCAAAGACTTACCGGGTGAAAGAAACAGAAACTTAAAAGCCATTTGCAACAGATATTGTGGTTTAGGTGCAACAATTCACAGGTGCTGCTATTAAGTAATCCAAGGTACTGGCATTGAACACTTTAGCATTACACGTGATATACAATTGATAACTAAAACAGATCAATCATCAATGTGAAATGGATCGATTTAGCGTTCAGGCCTCAAATCTGTGCAAAGCATGCAGGGATTCCAAATCCTAAGAGACTGAACAATCTGTTTTTTCTCTCAAGGTCTCAGAGACCTTTAATATCTGTAGAAAACCAAACAACGGTCTGAGCAAACCTTCCAGGCTAGGTAACAAATCTCTGCAGTTGCCATTAATCCTGCCCCCCTGTCCCACAGGGGTTTAGTCAGGGGATGAGGACGTGGGAGCACAGAGATTTGTTTCCTCTGCATTCCTCTGGAGCTGCTGTAATTATTCACACATCCCTATGCCAGTCAAGTCAATACCTCCCTATAATCAGCCAATTACCTACACAATCATCTCTAAAGGAGATAAGAGGATAATTCAACTTCTGGCCAATTTCCCTTGTAAATGCAGTTCTACAATCAGAATTATTGAATGGATCTTGGCCTCAGTATGCAACAATCGTGAAATAAAAAAAAACATTTCAGAAATCCACTTACATTAAACAGGTTTATGTCTATATTTCTCTATGGTCTGTACAATGAACAAAAGAGCACATTTTTCATTTGCACATCCTATTCAGAAAAAAAAGTTATCATAATCAGAAAATTTGTTAACTACAATGCAAAATAGTAAGACAAACACTGGTAATATTTTATAACAGCAACAATTCCAATCTTACTGAATGCAAACCAACAAAAAAATTAAAATTAAAAAAGATTCCACTCCACAAAACGCATGTGGACCACGAATGTCAGTCCATTTAGAAGCAAGAGACATGGAAAAATACAACCTACTGAGCAGATTATAGATGAGAAAAGATTGATGCATCCAGTTTTTCGCACCATTTACATCTATAATCATGATCTACTGTACAATGGTGAGAAATCTGGCCCACAACTTTTATAAACATAATTCACAAACCTCCTTTGTGCCTTTGAATCAGAACACATGTGCAATGACAACATTAACCATGCAACACTAACGTTATGGATTTGCTGCTGTGTACAGTTGTTAATTAATGTCTGGAGGCCTCAGGAGTCCTCCCAGAAAGGCCTTTCCTATTAGTTACACAGCTAACTGTCACTGAAGGAGCTCCAGAAAAGTAAATGACATTAAAATCTCATCGTCTGAGGAGACAACGTCTGTTCTGTATACAGTATACAGTACATTATGATGCCTGGTTTGTGGACTCTGTGCTATAGCCAACAAATACAATCCATGTAACCTAACCAAATCAGGAATGTCTGTAATCTCAACAAAACGTAAATGAAGGTTGTGAATCCGCAATACTTTTCTCAGAAGTTTAACTGGTATTTTTCTTTTTACCAGAGTTACATAAGGTTATCAACTCAACTTATACTTAACACAACGAAGATTTAATGTAAACTTCCAAATAATGGCAGCAGGAATAACTGAGACAGGAAGCGTCCAAGTGGCAATGCCTTCTGACTAACATATTTCACTCATTCAATGCTGTATTATTAGGTTGATGAAGCTCCAAAATATATCAACTTCATTAACTTTCAATTCAACTAATATATTGAGACCTTACATATAATATATTAAAACTTGTTTTTCTCAATGTTTGTGTAAGGGCAAAACACACAAAAACAAATTTCATAATAGCATGG